CATTAGAATGACAACCAATAATCATTTTCTTCACTTTATTCTTAGAGGAGGATGATGGGCATGGCATGAAGCTTGCTATGGATGACTAACGTGTGTCCTTTAATCATGTGGAGATCTCATTTTTTCAATTAAAAATTGATAAAGCAAAGACCTTTCAGTCGTCAATTCCTACATGTAAAGTGATGATTATAGCACGAAAAATGCATAGTATATTGTTTTGATATGTCTTTGTTAGTAGGGTGTCTAGGGACTTAGGCTTTTTTCTTTGGGAAGGTTGCAATTGCTTGAGGCGTAGGGTGTCTTGAGAGGAGAGAAAAGAACATCTTGAGCACCATCCTTTTCTGACAAATTTTAAAAGGAGAAAAGAAGAAGAAAAGAAAAGAAAGCCAATTAGAAAGAGCGAGTTCACATTTCAACATATATTTTCTTACCCGATTATTGAGTCTATCTATCGTTTTATTATAAAAGTAGGTTCAATGGGTTTTTTATTTTATTTTTGAGAGATTAAAAAGAAATAACAATAACAAAGTTGGCAATTAAATTGGAAATGAAAGGAAGAGCAATGGAATTGGGAAGGGGCCACTTTACACTTCATTGTATAATGGGGAAGGAGGAGCTGTTGCTAGCAATCACATGGGGAGAGGAGTTAAACTATGGCATTTGTACCTGTCATGTCCAAGTCATAGTGCCCGTAAACAATTCAATGTGGACCTAACTTTTGTCCCTCCAATCCTCCTCCTCTCTCTCTCTCTCTCTCTCTCTCTCTCTCTCACACACACACACACACACATTCAAAACCCTAACATCCAATTTTGTCTGGACATAGTAGCCCCCTCTTTTGTAATCTTTACAGTTCCCCTCAACTAGGTATTCCACTGTTGTCTCATCCTCCCATCCTTAAAAAAAGAACAAAAAAAGGGTGACTCTCCCCTTGCTCGAGCTTGCCCCTATAAAACCATGTTCCTTTGTTTTTGGGCCAATCCATGGAAAACCCATGTTAGCCAATGGGGAGATTTTGTGCCGTGAAAGCAACTCTCTCGGTTGAAAGCATGCTAATGAAGGCACTCCTGCTGGTGAAGGCACCATCACAACAGGCAAAAGGGTAGACCCTGCAATAAATTCAAGTGACCTGCCTCATGTCCCACGCCATGAACCAATGTATCCTACACAAGTTTTCACGAGGATGTTTTTATCCATATTTAAGAGACCCTTTTACCCCAACCATGCTGCCGGCCTTCATTCGAGAAGCAAGTAATTAAGACACTTTGCACACATCTTGATACATTAATGTTGATCGGTCAACAAGGGAGAGAGCAATATTGAAATTTTACCTCTCACCCTTTTTACCTACTCTCATTTTCTACCTCAACTTTCAAGTTTTTCTCTTTTTTGTAGTTTTATATGCCTTTTTTTCTTCCTCATTTCGTGCATTTGTTTAAAGACTATAAATTCTTTTTTTGGTAAGGATGTTTAAAGACTATAAATTTGTATTCCCTTAATATTAGTTAACACAACAAGGTACGATTATGAAGCGCTATATGAAAATACAACTTGAGTTCGACACGGAATTTGCCTTGTGTGTGGATTGTATTCATGGAAAATATATATTTTCATGAAATTTAACTATTATCTAGTGTGCGTGGATTGTTGATTTCTTGACGCAAAATTAACAAAGCAAGCTGTTCCATAGTAATTTTACTTGTACCAAAATTGTATTAGCTAATCCTATGTTAATTTGTTATTTATCAAGTGAACTATGCATTTCGAAAACTTATCAAGCAAGAAGGCGGGGATTTTTCTCATCAAAGTAGTATACTAAAAAATCCACTATTAAATTATCAATTTTAAACAAACAAAGTCTTGAAAATTTTAAAAAATATATCTAATTTATTTGAATACTTTTTGTTCACAAGATTAAAAGACAATATGTTCGATGCATGTCCCTCATGTCACTAATAAGCACAATAAACGCGTTTTATCCATACCTTTCTAGCAATCCACCTTTTCAGGTAAACTCAAAATTCATAAGTAAATATAAAGTTGAGATGTTTAAAAGATGACATAAATAAAATTTTAAATATCTCTTTATGAGCAACTCTAGCAAGTATGAACACTCTTGTTGTTCTCTACTTATAAAAGAAAACACTCTTGTCATACTCACTTCGAATAACATACTCCTGAGAACAAAGATGTTACAATCCTGATAAAATACCAAATAATTAGTGGCGCATTAAGCAACTAGCCGGCATTAAAGGGAGAATAACTTGTTTTAAATGAAAGGAAGAGGGGAGAAAATTGGCAAAATCTCAAAGTATATGGGGCTCACTGTGTAAAGTAAAAAGTTGTAAGTGTGTCGTGCAGTTAGCCCTTTGATACGGTAAAATTGCAATGTCGTTCTTCACGTCTAGAGTATTTAGGGAAATAGGACACCTACAATCTTGGGCTTAATTTCATGAGATGCCCCTAACTTTAGGTCTAATTCCAATTTTATCCGAATTTTTTTTTGTTTAAGAAAATCATCAACTTTCACTTTAATCTCAAATCTGCCCTGTTGACCGGTCATCCAAAAAATCACCACTGGTTTGTTCAAAATGATTAACATCAAGGCTACTTAGAAGTTCATTATCAAAATCCACATCTTCATCAACACCCTCGGGAACAACAGGAGCCTCCCGATGTTGATAATTTTGAAGAAATTAGAGGTGATTTCCTAGACCGTGGGTTAACATAGTAAATACGGAATTAGAATGAAGGTTGGTGATTCTTTTTTAGATAAAAAAAAAATTCCAGACAGAATTTAGATTGGACCCAAACTTGAGAGTTTTTTAGGGAACTAACCCTATTATCTTCTGAAAAGAAAATACACGATGGTATTCTACTCATGGGAAGATAGAAACATCATTGGCATAAAATAGTAGGCCGTGAATGATGGCTTTTGGGTTTTACTGGAAAGTTTTTCACTTTTTATGAGCAAATTGAAAGTGACAGTTCACCAAAGGGGACCCAAAGGTGTCTAACCAGTGGTCCAATGACAAATAAAAATTGAGTAGAATTACCTTTTATGATTGTGTAACGTGTCAACATCCCATAAATTCTCATCATTCGTATAGATGGACACGATCGATTCATATACATGTCTAGAGCTCGTAACTAAACCGGAAAACCTTAGACAAGTAATTAATTTACTTTCTCGAACAATTTTCCAAAGAAAACATTTTTAATAATTTCGATATAACTTTATATAAGCAATAGTGGACAAGCTTAATTCGCTAAACGAAGTTGATGTGTTTTGGTAGGAAAAAGGAATTAAGCAGATGTGTGGATCCACTTATTTTCCCTCGCATCAACGTAATTATTTTTTAATAAGAATTTCCTATAACATATTGAGAGAAAGGAATGGAACAGATTCTTTAATAATAGGAGCATCTCTTTCCTTTGTATAATATAAAGTAAAGGGGTGCAATCATCACACTCGAGATAGCTTCATACACACAATTTTCATTGACAATCCAACTAAAAATTAATCATCTTTCCATTGAAAAATCCAAATAAATTGACAAAAAAGACCTCAAATAAAGATCAATCATCTTTCAATGTCGTTTCTCTATCGAGAGAAAACACAAACAAATTCAATGGAGGTAGCAGATATGAAAAGATAAAAGAGGCCGTGACGATACGTTTACATCGATGATGGAGTTTGTTGAGGGAAAAAAAACTTTAAACAAAAGGGAATGCAGCATACAAATGAATCAAATTGTCCAAGTGAAAACATAGTGGATAGATATTTAAATCCGTATAAGTACTTCGCCTAAACTTGATGGTAGATGTATAATTTTTTTTCTCCTTAATACATAAATTAAATTCATTCTTGTTACATTATGTGATATTCGATGATATTATTCTTACCTTTTTCCAAAAGCCGCGATTATATATCTCTCATTTAGGTACTTGTTTTTATTAGAATTTCAGAATTCACATTTCATTTGAAGCAAATGACCTTTGCTTTTTGTTGAGCCATTTTCCATATGTTAGACCTTTTAATGGACGATGGCACGCAACATGCAAATGCAAAAAAAGAAGAAGAAATCGAATTTGAGACTATCTTGTGTTGAAAGATGGAGGAGAGGCGGCTGAAGATTGATTAATTAAAGAAAAAGAAAGGGGGAGAGGGGGTGGTTTGGATTGATATTTCTCTCTATCGGACGTTCCAATCGATTTAACTAAAAAATGTGTGAATTAAACCATTTGAGGTGTGGAGTTGCTGCCACCCGTAAGAGTAAACTTCATTGCTTTGATTTATAAATTAACGAGATAATGATAAAAATGGTCCTGAACTTTGGCAATTCTGCAATGTGGTCCTTAAACTTTTAATTTGTTAATACGGTTCATGAATTTTAGCTCAACGTGCAATGTGGCCCCTAAACTATATGAAAATATTCAATGTTGTATTTCCATCGATCCAAGTTCGGGGACAACATTAAATATTTTTCATAAAATTCAGGAACTAATGTCCAGGGATCATAGTGAATAAATTAAAGATTTGTTGCATCTTGGGCTAAAGTTTAAGGACCACATTAAACAAATTCAAAGTTCACGAATCACATTGCACATTTGACCAAAGTTCAGGAACCATTCGTGTCATTTTCTGTCAATTGAATATCTATGTATTTTGGAATGACAAAATAAACAAAACACGATTGAAGTCGAAATAACAGAGCAAAAATCAATACTAACTCATAATATTATGTTATCAGGTCGACCAATATAAAATAACATGTGTAGAAGTATACAAAACTTACATGCATATCACAAAGTTTAATTGTATCATGTTGCCTATGTAAACTTAAATAATTGAAATTATAAACTTGAGCCATACGAACCAATACATTTTCAAGAGAGTGGTGAAAAGAATCCTAAACAAAAGAAAATTACGACATGACAAATGAGAGAGGGAGAGAGAGAGAGAGAGAGAGAGAGAGAGAAGGGGCAGGGGGATGATGGGAACTTTACCACTTTTATATGTTGCACGCATTCGTAGCAGAAACAGAAGGCAAGCGGAGTACTAAAAACGCTACAAACAGCAGCAGCAGAAGAAGAAGGAGAACAGGGTGGAGACAAGAGAAAGCTCATCCTCTGAACCCCCACGGTAAAAATATGCTGAAAGTGCAGAAGACGAAGAAGAGGACCATGGTGCTCACAGTGATGTAGCCACATACACTTTGTGCATACAGAGAGAGACAGAGAGAGAGGGTGAACAAGTAGAGGAAGTCCATCGTGAGCATTCAAGCGTGTGCCTTTGGATCTGCATGCGCTGACAGGTTTCTTCTGCTTCATAGAAACCAAAAGCTTGGTCCTTTACAGTCTTTGCGGGTTTCCTGTCTTGTTTGATGCTTCTCTTCTGGTAAAAGGAAATCAGCCCATCTCCTTCTTTAGGAGCTGCAACAGTTCTGCATATTGGTGGTTGTTCTTGAAAAACCAAGAGAGAGTTTTTTTCTGTTTAAAAGACTGTATTTCGTTCTTGGTTTCGTTTTTCCTTAGATGAAGGCCACTCCTTTAGGGGTGGTGTTGGATTTTTCCGCTTCTTCAGATTCATCCCCAAAGGACCACCACCACCACCACCACCACCGGCACCACAACCAAGAAGAGCACCAGCAGTGGCTGAGCGCCGAAACCCCGAGAAGCAAATCGGGGAATTTCTTTGTAGGCAGTGAGAAATCCTCTTTTCTTGAAATCAGAAGAAGCCCAAGCCCTCAACCGTCCTCTACACTGTCTTCCTCTCTCAACAGCAGCGGCTGCGCTGGCGCCTCGACCGACACAACCGGGGCGGCGGCTGCGGCCGCGGCCTCGGGCAACAACACGCCTCGGGGTGCTGCTCTAGGAAAATGTGGGATGGGAGCGGAGGATTGGGAAGCTGTTTTGCCTGAGAATGGTCAAGAGCAGTCAATTTTGAGGCTGATAATGGGCGACATTGAGGACCCATCCGTTGGGCTGAGCAAGCTGTTGCAGAGCACTGGTGGGTCTCAAGAATTGGAATTCGGTACAGGTTTTGGGGTGCTGGATCAAGGTTTCAGCTTTGAACCTTTGACTAGCTCCAATTTGAACATTGAGACTTCTCTGCATGATTCTGGCTCCGATTTCCCTCTCAGTGGCTCAAATGTTCACGGCAACAATGTAAGAATTCCTTCAGTCTCAAACCCAATTCCCTTTCCTGGCCAAAAAAAACCTAATTTCTTTTCCAGTTCTTCAGCAAACGATGCTCTTGTGCCTGTTTTGCCTCTTGGTGTTTTTCAGCAACAGCAGGATGGATCTCTAGATGGAAAGGCAATGGTTTTTGATTCCCAAGCAATAGTTAATCAGAACCAGGCACCGTATTCCCAAAATCCTTCCTTTTTTGTGCCATTGGGGCATAACCAGATGCAAGATCACGATCTGTTGTCACTGCCGCCTCCAAAAAGGCTGAATTCTGGCCCCGGTGGACCGAATTATTCGAGTTCAAGAACAGGGTTGTTGAATTCAGGACAGGATATGTTCGTTCGGCGTCAAGAGCAGTATCACTTGCATCCTCAGCAGTTTCAGCAGAGGCTTGAGCCTCCTGCAATGAAACAGAAGATGGTAAGTGATGAATTACCAAACCACCAGGTTCAGCAGGCGATAGTTGACCAGCTTTATAAGGCTGTGGAGCTGATCGAATCGGGGAACCCGGTACTCGCGCAAGGGATATTGGCGCGGCTCAATCACCAGCTCTCTCCTATTGGTAAGCCTTTTCTCAGGGCTGCCTTTTATATCAAGGAGGCTTTGCAGTTGCTCCTCCAAACTAATTCGACCAATCCTCTGGCGTTTTCGCCTTTTAGTTTGATTTACAAGATTGGTGCTTATAAGTCTTTCTCCGAAATCTCTCCTGTCCTTCAATTTGCAAACTTTACTTGCAACCAAGCCTTTCTTGAAGCATTGGAAGGATATGATAAAGTTCACATATTGAGTTTTGATGTTGGGTATGGTGGGCAATGGGCTTCTTTGATGCAAGAACTTGCTTTACGGAACAAAGGCTCTTGCTCGCTCAAGATTACTGCTTTCGCATCTCCTATGATCCATGACGAGCTCGAGCTGGGCCTCACGCAAGAGAATCTTAAGCATTTCGCAAACGAACTGAATATCAACATAGAATTTGAAGTTGTGAATATTGAGGCTTTAAGTTCAAGTTCTTGGCCACAGCCCCTTAACGTATTGGATGGTGAGGCTATTGCTGTGAACCTTCCAATTGCTTCCTTTTCGACTCACCCGTCGATTCTGCCTTCAGTGCTTCGATTTATAAAGCAACTGTCACCAAAAATTGTGGTATCATTGGATAGAAGTTGCGACCGAATCGATGCTCCATTTCCCCAACATGTAGTCCAAGCCCTCATTAGTTATTCCAGCTTGCTCGAATCTCTTGATGCCCTGAATGTGAACTTTGATGTTATGCAAAAGATTGAAAAGTACTTTCTTCAACCTGGCATCGAGAAAATTGTAATGGGTCGGCACCGATCACCAGAGAAGACCCATTCATGGAGGTCACTGTTTTTGTCATCCGGGTTCTCCCCATTAGCATTTAGTAATTTCAACGAGTCTCAAGCTGAGTGCCTTGTGCAGCGGACCCCAGTTCGGGGTTTCCATGTGGAGAAGAGACAGCATTCACTTGTGCTCTGCTGGCAGCGAAAAGAGCTTGTATCTGTTTCTGCTTGGAGATACTGAGGAGCTGCATCCTGCGAATTTGGTCTGCAGATTAGAGTTCCTCGTGAAGGTGACTCGTAACTCAGCACCTTTAGTTTCTGATATTTTCCTTTTTTGTTTTTCTTTTTAATCCTTGGTGATGGCTCTAGTATGCTAATTGCATATGCAGTTTAGGTCTTAGTGTCTCCAATTAAAGACCAAAGAATTCAGTGCATGGATCAGTCTTCACTGTTTAGTACTTTATTGTGATATGGGTGTTTGTATGTCGTTTATCCCATCTTCTTGGGTGTAACTGATTGTTGTACACTTTGAGAACAATGCTATTCGAGATATTGACAAGAAAAGAATTTAATCTCTAAAATCAGAAAATCCAATGCTAATATTCCAGTGCATTATGTGTAACAATTGATGCTTTCAATAACTCGTGATGTTTGGGTGACTCTTCATCAAGGTGCCAACTGCTATTTCTGTGAGTAACCATCAAAATGGCGAATGGTGCTTGGCATCATTTAAAAGTTTCCACTTAGTGTCTGGAATATGAGTGTCATATAAAGTTAAATATTATGTTTAATCTATTCTGATTTTGGTCGAGCAAAATTAAATGCGTAGTCTGCTTCCTTGTCATTTGCAATGCTCTTTTTGGCTTTCGAATCATTATTATGCAATGCTCTAAGCTATTCTGAGACTCACTTTGGAATAGAAGATTCGTGTGCTTATTTCTTGTTCGCAGCTAATTTTCGTCAGAAGCTATTATTTCAGTAAACATGCATGTCTTAAGGAAAAGAAGGTAATTTGGTTTGTCGCAAATATGTGGTCTTAGAAGGATCTGTGCTTGTCTCAAACTGATGTGGAATTCTATCAGAATATCATGGTGTAACTGGTTTCCTTTACAGCTAGTGTTAAGGTAAGTATTGTCCTTGTGGCCTGCACAGCTCCAAGTAGTTATTAGATTGATTGTTGCGGTGTCTCGTGGCTGGTCAGTGGTCACAGAACTGAATAGACTATGTTTCTCCTAGTCACGAGTACCTGGTCAATGCTTATTTGGTTTAAATCCGGGTACTGACACCAAAGGACTTGGCCATAGTATATTCCGACATAGCTATCTTTGCTGAAAATATGTAAATCTCATACATTATGGAGACTTCTTTGCTTTTTCGCCATTGTGTCTTCATATAAATTTGCCTCATGGCCTTCAGAAGGAATAACTCTGTTGTTCGGACTTTAATTAGGCATGATTCTCTTGCGACGGTAATGCACGAGAATCGATTTTAACCCATCTTAGCAGTGTCCTGCTTTATTATTCCTTAGCCACTAACTATATCAGGGAGATGCTTTATGGCAGTGATGTTAGTTCATGTAGAAAGCACGGTGTTGTGAAATGGTCGAGCATTTATTGATTCTTGTCGATGCTTCATTCCTCATCCACCAAAAATGGTACCGAAACAATGCTCACCGTGACATATGGGTATTGTTATTTGTGGCGTCAAAGATGCAACATACGGTCGTGAGGATGTTGGCTACGTTAATGTTATTCCCACAGACGAAGGCGCACATGACGGCAAAGCTTATGCTTATCGGATAATCGATCGATTATGGAGGGATGACATCAAAAGGGTTGGGTTTTTCTTGAAGTTTTTGCGGATTTTATAAGCAATGCATTGTCGTTGTTGTGTTTTCAATGCCTTGGTCTCAGTAGCATTGGGCCGTCACATGATTAGTTTAACCTCTTCCTGTTCTGTCAAATTGAGGGCTCCTTTTGTTTATTAGTTTACCATGCTTTTGTCCAAAGGCAATCGCATTATTTAATGGTTGAGGCCATGTTGCACGAGGGAGAGAGAGAGAGAGAGCATTATTGATGGAGATTGAAGTGTATTGTTCACATTTGGAAGTAACAGTCTTTGTGCACATTCTGCTCCTTCGGACCAATGTCTGGCCGAGAGCGGACAGCCTTTAGAAGCGACATGCCGGGTAACCAAGAGGAGGGCCGGTTTGCGATCTCGTATCCTCTTCCTGCCCAAGGACCAATGGACGGCAGCATAAAAGAAGAGCGCCGTCGGCTAGAATGAACAAGAGAGGAAGCGAGAAGAGCACCGGATAGATCTAACTATTTCGAAAGTCAGTAGACAAGGAAAGACCCTAGGGTCGGTTTAAGATGGGTCGTTGCAAGTTTCCTGTGGTACAATTCTTAGTTTGGATTAGTTTGATGAATGAATAGGGTGTGGTACATTTATTATCAGACTGCGATGATTGTCAAACACGATCGTACCAACGGACTACTCGGCTGAAGTAAAGCTGGCGGGTATAAGTTGTTGCGCATTGTAAAGACTTTGGGTTTGCACAAAGTCCATTTGAAAATATGTTAGGATTAGGGGGGTCATACATTCCTTGATGAACTCCACAATAAAACTCTTTTAAGTCCAACAAAATCGGAGTTCTCCTCGGTGTCTAGGGAAACGCGACAATAATTGGAGAGTTACCATCGTGCTCAAGAATCAATCGCTCTTCAAACGTACTTATGAAGATCTCCGGGCAAGAAACTGCATATAGCGAGAAAAGCATCGGTATTACTACGACATATAAGATCGAATGATTCTCAACACTTCGTCTGGTTTGATTTGTGCATCTACCTATGACGATAGAGAGAGCAATATCGTCTCTCATCTGCCTACTCATGCCTCTTTAAAATCTCCTCTTGATCGACAAATCCCTGCAACATCTTAGACAGTTAAACGGCAGTTTTGCATATAAAATCGTCAAACATGATCTGTACTGTACTGTACTGTTTAGTAGGCCAGTCAGAGAGAGAGAGAGAGAGTGAGTGAGAGCCTCAAGTTTTTAGTAGGCCGGTCAGAGGTTTTTCCCATCACCTTCTGTCATTCATTGAACCAGACAGTTCCTCAAGGGGACAAGAAAACGCCCGTTGATCTGGTGGTCCATGGAATTGTGGCGACACAGAGGAGAGGGCGGCAATTTCTCACACGACACGATAACAGTTAGGACACGACCCAAAATTAGCGGATTTGGTTCGGGATTATTTGTGTTCGGATCAATTTCTTGTCAGCTCGCGATAATAGTGTCTTATTCGCATCCAACTCGTCATATGCGAAATTGACCCATATGTGTGTTTGTGTGCTTAAACCATGCAAAGCTAATTCTCCTTTATTCTCTTTAAATTTCTGTTCGGTATTAGAGATCTTCGAAAGGTAAGATAGTACCTTATCCTGATACTATGTTTTGCATTTGTCTCTACGACGAAGAAGGCCTTATGTTCGGAATAAGGGTTTAGCTGGATGCTAAAAATCGGTCTCGACAGGGTAAGGCCGAAGTAAAGGCACCACGAGGGAACTGAATACTTGCATTTGCTAAGTTTCTGCCCATTTCATGGTTTCAAAGCTAAAAGACTGTCTTTCCATCATACTTACTATTAAGATTTTAGATTGACGGTATTTCATTGACCGTGAACGTGTTTTTCTGTAATTTGATTTGGTGATATTTTGTTGATGAAGTATTGCAATCTATAAATAGACTCTATGAAAGCTCGAGAACACTTCTCGTCAAGTTGCCATCAATGGACTGGTCTCGTGCCGACAAGTTGATTCCGTAGCATAGCACGTCATGCGATCGTGTTAACCTGTCGGCCCATTATTTACTCGCGTTACATGATAGTGCGGTGTTAACCCGTTAACTTTCGGATCGTGTTCATATCAAGTAGATCGACTATCGTATCGTGTTTCAGTTTGACCTAATTTGTGGTATATACTCTTTGCCATGACATGGAGTTGACTCCGAGCACGAATTAACCACCCCTAGTGGCGACTATCCCTAGATCCAAACTGCAAGACAAGCTTAAAAGAAAATTGAAATAAAACCGCGTCAAAAAAATGATTATTTTCAAGGAAAATACTCCTTAGTCAACAGCTTACATGTCATTTTCTTTGACTTGGCTAGTGCTGATTACAACCGCACGAATCATGTCGTCTTGTCTAATCTCCCCAGCACAAATTGACCGTTTTTGACGGGATTGCATATGGAGAAAAATCCGAAACCAGCACGCTTCGACACGAATTTTACGCACTTAAATTTTACTAACATAACTAATAAAAATATATATTTTTTGATGATGACACGATGATAAGACTCGATTAGGACATGTAAGTATGAAATTGCTAGTCTTTTTGACTTGGTGTCGCAGATGGTGAGGCGGAAGCACCAATTGCGAGGCGATGATCTCAAGCGTATAATAGACACATGTTATTCGCTAATCTTCCCGTTTGCTCAAAAATATGATATTTTTTTTCATGCTATAAATGTCAATAAGTATTGGTAGGTGTCAACATACGGTCGGTATGAAAAAACTATTGCTAACTTTGTTTTTGAGTTGCGTGTTGGCAGTTTACTAAAACTTCTATAGAACCATAGACAATTATAATAGTTTGGAAATTATCATAATTTGTATCAAATTATCATCTTTCGTTGGCATATTTTTATCAAAGCTTCACTTTTTCTAAAGCTTATACGAATTTATCAACAAAAATGAGAGTAACTTACCAACTCTTGTCGGTTGAATTACCAACTAATTTTGGGTTACCAACTCTCGTTTAAGTTGCTTAAAAATTGATTGCTAATTATTCTTTCATTAGTAAATTAATGGCACAAAATTTGGTACGTCACACAAATAAAGATTGGTAAGTTCGTAAAAGAGTGGAAAAAAAATGAAGGTGTTTGTAAAAAAGACAAATAAAAGTTAGTAAACGTTAATAAAAATTGAATCATATATAGAATTAACTCAACTGAGAGTTTGATAACTCAAAGCAAGATAATATAATTGGGAAAACTAGTTGGTGATCATTCAAATAAAGATTGGTAAATTTAAAAAAAGAATTAGTAAATGTAAGTCGTCGGTAAGAAAGACAAATAAAAATTAGTAAAATAAATAAAGAAAAAGCGACAAACTTGTAACTTGAAAAAGAGCCGAGAATTTCAAAAAATGTCGTTAAGTCGCTAATAAATTGCCATTAGATAAGGTAATTGATAAGTGTTTCTTTCCAAAACTTCTTTTTCTTTTTTTTTTTGTGACAATTACCAACTTCTTCAGAAATCTACCGGCACCGAAAAAATCGATTTATTTGCACACGGAATAGTAGAATCGTTCCAACGTAATAAAACAAGTCATTAGGAATTTGACTAATCCACTTTGCCTCTCGCCATGTCCTTTAAGTCCGATTTCTTTAAACTCTTTTGCAATTTAAAGGAGAAAAATATTTATATGCCTAACCTTCAACTTGGCTACGAGATGCACTTAAATTACTCAAATTGAATAAAATAGCTACAGCGAGCCACCTAAAAAAACATAAAATAATC